CTGATTGAAATAATTAGATTGAGTTCGCGTCATACTTTAATAAGCTTTGAACAATTATTTTAAACTAATTATAAATCGTTGTAAGTTATAACACTCTTTCAGTCTCGTTGGCCAAAAATAAAAAATCTGTCAATCTCTTTCTTTCTTTCTTTCTTTTCTTTATAACAATCTTTCAATCTCTTTCTTAATGTTCTTATTTATAAGAGAACTTTGGAAGTACTATAATTTTGTTATTATGCTTGAGAAACAATTAATATTCGTCTATTTGGGCAAAAAAAAAAATCTTTACCTAAAATTATAACTTAGCTATGCACTCATTAAAAAGGAGGAATATTATCCACAAAAAAAAAAGGTTTTATATATGGCGCATTTAAAATTTATAACTGAATTTTTTTGCCATTGTAACTGGATTTACTTACTTGAGCACGTAAGAATTCATTTGGAGAGAAGATATAAATTTCTTATTAATATTTTAATTTTAATTGTTGTTAATTGTGATTTGTAACGGTCCTGTTTCTACGGAGATTGACTTCCCTTGTTTAAACCTTTGGGTCATTGAGTATAATTAATACGTTTGGATTCACAATGCAAGCACTTTGACTTCGGGGGTACACATGGGGCGTGCCTAATTTTATGGTTTTAGCAAATACAGAAAGGGTTTTTAAAAGTCAATTTTAGTCTCGTCTAAAAATTTTTTTTTAATAAACAAAAGTTTAGATAAGATGGGTTCCAAAAACTCACCAAAACCAGGATATAGTCTCGTTTATAACTAAGCACTATTCAAAAATCAAAATTACTCTCAGCTTAAGCATTATCAAAGTTTCATTAGCGGCATGGCCATCTGTCATGCTTAAATGAGATTCTAAATTTGTGTATGTGTGTTTAAATGTATTAAATAAAAAAGTATTATTCAAGTTAAATAAGGAATAAATCTCCTAATAATTTTTTTTTTAATTTTAGACGCAAACATCTAATTTTACTCAAGCGTGTCTTTATGCTTGACTCTATCACTATTAACATAAATTTTAGTTAAATTTAGAACCCATAAACTGCCATTAGTTAAATTTCCAACACATACAGTATTTTTTCTTTTTTAAACATAGCTATCTGATTAGATTAGATTGAAGTACAATCAAAGCTCATATACAAGATTATTTTCCTTTCATATCAAATACAAGTTTATGACATGATATTTCATTCCATTACGATCTCATTTTCCTATTACTTCAGGCTTCATTTTACTACTCTATCTAATACAATATTGAAGAAGTATATTATATTTCAAAAAATAAACTGTAAATGTTGTAGAATATCTTTCTTTTGTGAAACACAATCAATTAGACAGGGATACTAATTAATAGAGACTCAATCCAAATTATTCCAATATACTACCTCCGGTTTTTACGAACTAATTTGACTTTTAATTTGATTCTAAATATAATATTCAAATTTATTTTGTTTTTATATTTATTTGTTTTTTCTAAGATAGTAATTGTAATAGTTGCTTATGTCAAATATTTTTAATTAACACACATGATTAGTAAAGATATTTTAAGAAAGAAAACACGTATTCATTACAAATAATTTAACTAATTTTTTTAATCTACTCGAATTAATCAAACCAAAGGTAATAGATCTAAACAATAAGTAAGCAGAATTGTACTCCGTAAGTGTCAAGAGACCTCTTTGCAAGAATTTGCGCAAGATTGAATGTCTCTGAAATATGTTGGGGTTTTCATATATAGTTTCTTGACTATTTGTGTCAGCTCACATTAGTTAGTTATAAATTTTTTAATTATATTTCGCACATGGAATTATAAAATGGAGGAAAAACCAAATTCCGAATGCTAATTTAAAGTACAGATTAAAAGACTATATTTGTCTACATATATTGTATTTTTTCTTTGGCCAAAATATCTATTGCATTTTGATTCTCTTAAAAATATACATAAAAAAATCTTTTTAAACTATAATAGATCCAAAGTAAGAGAAGCAGAAAACGAAGCTTGAAAGCGACTTTATGTCTCAGAAAATTAATAGCATAATGCTCTCTTGCCTTTTCTTCGACAAATGGATGAGCCGATTAAACCAACAAAATATATGAAAAGCTTATTTATGCTTAATGTCTCATATAATGCCAGTTTATAATGATCGAGTGGAAGAATAATGTCCCATTTATCATAAAAAGAGAACGTCCCATTCAAAACATATTCAATTCAGATATATTCCCAGTAGAATCTCTCATAAACTGATTTTGCCAACTCTGTCTTAATATAATATGAGAGTTGGTTATGAAATTTAACATATATTAGCTACAAATAACTAACTTATAATTTTTTTTAAATTATTTATCTAACTCTTATATTAAAACTGCATGCAAGTAGTGCGTATATCTCATAACTTTTTCGGAGGACATATAAGTATTGACCCATCAATCAATATATCATTTCACTGGTTTAACTAACCATATTAAAATCATACTTTTTGCTATTAGATATTGGTCCCAGTAAAAAAGACTATGCTTGCTTAAATACGAACTGGAATTTCAATTTGTATGAATATAAAAAATGCTTGTAAGAGAATTATCCAATAATATTGGATATATACCAGATAAATATTAAAAAAAAATCATACTTTAAGTTTTTCTCATCAATTTGAAATTTTGTTTAATCAATTTTTCCTAACTCTTGGATTGATGGAAAAAAAGTTAGGAGAAAAAAAATTGAAAAAGAAAACAATAACGCTCTTATTGGAAGAAAAGAGGAAGGAAAATGAATAAATTATAAGCCTGGAGAAAAAATATTATCACCTCCTATTTGAATTGAAAAAATAATGGGTCCGTTTGGATAAACAATTAGAAAAATAGCTCATTGAAAAAGTAACTTTATGGAGAAGTGAAGTTTGGTAAAAGCTAAATTAGATAAACTTAATTGTGTTTGGATTAGAATTCAGAAAAGCTAGTTTGCAAAAGTGAGGTTGGTAAAAGGTTGTTTGGATTATGGGTGAGTAAAAGTAAGTTTGGTTGTAAAATGACCAAAATGGGTATAAACAAACATGATAAAAAAATAATTTCACATAATACAATGAAATTAAGATAATTTAATATGAAGAAGTTAAATTTAATGAGTGAATTAGATTTTAAAATTTTAGAAAAATCATAAAAAATATTTGATATATAAAGTGAAAGATGAAAAAAAAAATGAATTGAGATAATACAATGAAGAAGTGAAATTTATAGAGTGAATTAAAATTGAAAACTTTACAAAATTCATAAGAAATAATTTAAATATAAAGTGAAACATGATAAAAAAAATGAATTGACATAATATAATGAATTTAATATGAAGAAGTGAAATTAATTGAGTGAATTAAATTTGAAAACATCAGAAAAATAAAAAAAAATATTGCAAATATAAAGTGAAACATAATTTGAATGGATAAAAAAGTTATGAACGCCAATTTGCAGTATTGTGAGAAAGTGAAATGAAATAATATTACATAATTAATTAATTGATAAGCTATGAATAATTTGGTCATTGATTGCATCACGAACGTGATTCATATGCAATAAAGACTGTGATGTAATATTTGAAGACGATGGTTGACTAGCTTCAACCTGATCATGTTCGCCAACTATATTACCATTTTCAGTTTGTTCAAAAAAAAAGTCGGAGCCTAAATGTCTCCTTATAAGGTTATGAATGGCCATTGTTGCACAAACCAGGTACACTTATGTTTGGAAGTCGTAACTATGCATGTTTCATAAGATTTGGAATCTATTCTTCCAAACACCGAATGTTCTTTCTATTGTGCACTTTAAACTAGAATGATAATAATTGAAGGCTTCGTTACTATTTCGGAATCCTATTTGTTGTCAGAAGTCCTGAATGTGATAGCGCTCAGATCTGTATGGACCTAGATATCCATTTGGTGTTGGATATCCCACATCAACCAAGTAATATTTCCCTAATGATTCATGAAACAATTTGAGAAATTGTGAAACGAATAAAAATATGAAATAATTAAAAAACATGCGTGATTGGACCATATAAACATATGCCTGGAGGTGGATGAGGGAAATTAAGAGATGAATTTGTAATAGCACTGTCAAATATACGGGCATTATGTGTAGATCCCTCCCATCCTGCCAAGACAAAAGTGAAACACATATCCCAATCACATACAGCCATGACATTTTGTGATGGATTTCCCTTTCTACTAATAAATTTGTCTCATTTTGCAGCGAGGACAACACACTGTATATGAGTGCCATCAACTGCTCCGATTGCGTCCTTAAAAAATGGATAGTAACGTGGATCGTTCTGAATTTTTCTGAGTTCCATGAAATGTAAGATCTATGGTTCAAATAAGTTCACTCAATAAGCTAAGGCAAGCTTGCAGTACATTGTGAAAGTGCCTACTTACAGTTTTCCCTGAACGTTGAAATTGTTCCTAGATCATCCTATTACATTGTCCATGTGCAGTCGTGTTTAAAAACATCGTGACTATTTCTTCAATTCCTACGTACTTAGACTTTTGTAAACCATGTTCCTCCAATTTAGTACATAAGAGGTGAAAAACATCTTTATCCATTCTAAACATTTCATGACATCGATCATCATGCCCATTCATAACGCCTTGTACCTATAAATTTCCTGTCTGCTCACTAGTCTTGCACGGTTGTTTAAACATATACATTTCACAATAATGACTAACCAATGCACCTACTGCTTCATATTGTGTTAATTCCTCATTAATCATGGATAACCGTGTTGAATGGTTATCTTCATTTAATCATGAATCGTTATTCCAATTCTGCAAAGTATCTTCATTCCATGGTGAATTATTATTCCAATTAGCCATTTTTGGAATTAACCCTGTAACTGTGGTGACAAGAAAGTGTAAGCATCATAAGGACTACACTAAATAAAGTGTAAATACTTTTCATACTACAAATAGAAAAACCAAACGCATAGATGACAGGTAGAAATTAGCGTAAATATATTACGTAATCATTAATAAAGTTCTTACAACAGGCTATATCAGTTTAGGTTAAAACAGCAAGTAGTTCAAGTTAACAAGTGCAATAATAACAGTAAAACAACTAAGTCCTAAACTAAATCCTAATCTATAGGTTCCTTCCATGTATTTGGGTCTAGTGCTGCCAGTATCAACCACGCCAACAACTTGTTTCTACCATGCATAAACCCCAAATAGGCTCGCCTAGCCTACCTCAACCGCATAGGCATCTTGGCACATACATAATATAGTTGATTGTCACCATTAAGCTCTTCAACAGTAGTCAAGTGTGCCAAAACCTTATCAACTAGTTGGGAAACTTCAACCAATGCTGCTGCTCACTTGTCAGAAGCAGCTGCTATGACACTCAGGCTATTAGAAATTTTAGTAGATACAGTAACTTTTTTCTTTTTTTTTTCTTCTTTGCATCAGACGTCTCACCCCTCTTCCTCTTTCCATAGGTTCTTGAGCCACTTGGTCCAGTACTCACGGGGTTGTTTAAGTTGCAATCGACGAAGTTATCTGTGACCCCTACACTGGCTGTTGGGTCAACACCAAAATTTTCATCCTCACTGTCCCCTGACCCTTCCTATTGGTCCAGCTCAATTCTATAAACATTCTCCTCCTCTTCTGTGTTAGCCTGTGGAGCAAGTGCCGGCTGAGGTTGTGAGGCTGATGGTACGTACATATAGTCTCTCAAAGCTACAACATCTTTAAATATTTTCACCAAATCTGATACAAACATCAACCCCTGATGTTTAAATTTTTTGAAATTGGAGTTCACCTACATTAAGATAATTAAGCGGAATCAAGTAATGTCTAAACTGATATTTGAAATTAAAACTCAATCAACACAAGTAGTTACCAGTAATTTTCAGTGCCACCACTCATTGGAGGCCAACACCTTATTTGTGACTGCATCATAACCAATGCCAGACTCTCCAAACATCAGTTGTTCTCACAACTTCCATTCCTTTCTCAATATGTCAAATATATTTTTTAGTTGTTTCTTGTCATAATTTTTCCCACTCCTTTCCTTAAAATTCTTTTCAATTTTGCTCCATCCAGGCCTTGTAAACAAAGTTCCTTGTCGTTCCTTTTGCACTATTTGCTCGACACAAATATCGAAAAATTTTTTTGTCATGTACGGGTCCCATATTGCTTTTCTTTTATCATAATCCATTTTTCTATACAAAATAATATAACTATAAGACTGATTTAAGCAACCAAACAAGCAACCATTATTCAAAATAATTTCCCACATCAAAACACAAATGATGTTCCAACTAATCAAAAGGAAATGTAATCTAAATATATAAATTCAATGAAAACGCATTTAAGTAACCAAAATATATATTAGTTCTGTTTCCTTTTTTTTTTTTTTTTTCCAACAAACCTTTCTCTCCTCATGGATGATGGCCTGATAGAAGGGGAAAAAAAACAGGGAGAACACACTCTTTCTATCTCTGGCTTCCTTACTCTAATAGTTCAATATTCTTCTTGCAAGTTTATTACTTCGGCTCTGTCTAAATTTGTTTTCATTTCCTATTGCATTCTTCGGACGGAATAATATTTTTATACGTGTGAGATGCATTCTTTATTTCCTGTTCATAATTAACTAGCTTCAGGTTTGCACCTCTCATGGATGATTCCAATTTTTTAATGACCAATAGTTGCTCATACTATCCTTCTTCTTTGTTTTTTTTCCTGTTAGATGCTAATACCAACAATTGCTCATACAATTTTTTCTTTCTTGTTAGATGCTCATACTATGGAAGATAATTTTTAACATGTGTTTCCACCTCTCTAACCTGTGTTTTTTCTTTTCCAAAAAAACTCTCTCATTTTGCACGAAATATGTGATGGAAGAAAAAACTAAGGGACACACGGCTATTTACAGACCTTTGTATTAACGTAAGAGCAAAAATCCCAACAAGTTCAGTTTCTAAGAGAAAAATCCATACTTGAACAGATTATATGCAATCGGATTAACATCATCATGGTTGTTTCTTTAACTCTACAAAGAAGGAACCAGAAACCGTGAGTACCTAGCTTAACCAGACAAAACACAGCTCGGAAGAATTTGCAACCTTTACAACAGCTCAACTCCACAACAATTCAATAGCTCGGCCATTACATGCAACCAGAGAAGGTAGAGGAAAAGAGAAGAAGAAAAGAACAGAGATGCTGAATGTTATGTACCAGATCCGAAACTATGGAGCTTGAGGAAGGTAGATTAGACTCTGTTTTGTACTCTTCGGCCGAGATATACACGGGAAAACTCACCCCCAAGCTCAGACGCCGGCCACCACAGCTATTGGAGGAGTCTTCAGATCTGACCTTCGAACACCTTTGGACGACCGATGAAGCACGCAGAGAAGCTTCACCCACTGGACCGAACACAATGCTCAACTCACGTCGGCCAATGGACAGAGAATGGCAGAGTTGTGACGGAGCTACAGCAACGGACTTGACTGCACAACGTCTTCTCTCCAGTGGCGAAGCTCTGAGCTTTATGAATGAGGAGAGGCAGGAATAAATGAGGAAAGCCAGCAATAAAAAAATAAGGACATAATTGGAGGAAGGAATAAATGATCATTTGACAAGAAAATAATTTTCCTAACGGTCCAGCATAAGCACAATGCAATTTTAAAAAGCTCTTCCCTTGCAGCTTATTAAAATGCACGATTGAAGGCGCGATTTGGAGCTGAAATGGGATAGCCCAAAAGCTGTCCCAAACACCCTCTCTTAACCAATCAGGCTTATCATCTACTTAAACCTCCTTTTGGCCCGCAAAACGCCTATCCAAACAGGCTGAATGTCTCATTTGGGACACTGGAATTGAAGCTAGAGAATGGAAAGTGGAACTGAAACCAAGAAATTAGACTGGCATGGTGGAAGCCACTTTCATGTGGAACCCACTTCCATCTGATAGAAGTGAGTTCTTTGGTTAGACAAAGCAATTGAGATGGATTTCATGGAAGTGAGATTTGATTACTATTATACCCTCATATATTTTATCATTTGACAACTTTGCCCCACCTAACCTATGTCTCTTTCTTCACTCTCCATCTTAGCCTCCCTCTTCCCCACTTACGATGATAGTGAGATACAGCAACGACAAAGGACGCATCTACGATGATGATTTTATTGATTAACGAACCTTCCCTCTTATTCATTCACGTCGCAAATGATAACCTGCAAGTATCTAGGTTCTTTGATTTCAAATTCAGATCAGGTCGAGCCTTCAAGTTCGACCTCAAATGCGACGGTCACTGGTGACCCTCGCCTTTTTGTAGGACGATGCTTGACTAGCGACCCTCCTTCCTTTCCTCTGAATCTCACTCTTATCCCTTAAGTTATCGCTACTTCTCAACCTCCTCGCCTTCCTTGCTCTCCTCTAGCATGTTAAACATGAGTTGGATCTCAACATTCCTGTCCTTTTTGTGATTCCTTAAGTTATTCACGCGATCTCAACTCCCCTCCCTTCATCTTCTTCGATTTGTCTCTTTTTGGCCCTTTATCACTCCATCTTTGCATCTTTCATAGATTGGGATTGAAGATGAATTTTTTTTAATCTTTTCTAGGTTTGATTTCAATGAAATCAATCGTTGCCAGATTTGTTTTGTTATTTGGATTGTGGATGAATATGGGAAGAGAGTTTTTTTTTTTTAGTTGGGACATTTTGGTACTTTGATGATATAAATACTAATATAAATTAACAATAATACTACGTTTTCATGGCCAAACCAAACACACATTAAAACTCACTTCCTTTTTGCTTTTATTTTCACTTCTATTGAGAACTCTTTCATTGTACCAAATAGGACATAAGAGAAATGAAAATGAGAATTGAGAAATGAAAAGAAAAAATTGCAAATAAAGACCTCCTAATATATAAAATTGCGATTTTGAGCCTTTAATTTGGAAAATGATATATAAAGACCGGGTCCCATATTGCAAATATGAAATTTTGGTGAAATATCTGAAATACCTCTCAGTCAAATTATGATTTGTTTTGCTAAAGTTGTCATTCACTAAAATGAACTTGTCATTTCCCATAGTCAATTTGTCATTGGTATATCCTCAGTCAAGTTGTGATTTGGTCTACTAAAGTTGTCATTTGCTAAAATGAATTGTCATTTCCTATAGTCAACTTGTTATTTGGCTAATGGGCATTCTAGACATTTCACCAAAATTTTATATTTTTAATATAGGACTGGATCTTTATTTGTTATTTTCTAAATTGAGAGTCTCAAATCACAATTTTCCATATTAGAGGGTCTTCCTTTGCCAATTTCCCAAATGAAAATGAATTGGACAAAATGGCATAGGAGAAAACTAAAAAGTAACCTATATGACCCGTCCAATCATCGGGCCAAACAGGTTACACCCGACTAATGCCAAGCTAACTAGGTCAATCATTTTCTAGTCTAAACCTAACTATATAGGGTGTGTTTGAATTGACGGTGACAAGATTGACTTTTACTTTATTTAACTTTTTTAAACATGAGTTAAGGTAAAAGTCACCTAGTATAGCGTGATTTATGTTATGATTGACATTTGTAGAAAAGTTAGTTTGACAAACTAAAATTCATTTGGATGGAGTGTAGAAAAATAAGTTTAGATGTAAAATTATTGAAAAAGACATAAATTTTGTTAACTAAATATGTGTATAATGTGATAATTTTAAAAGAAATATTAAAATTAAAATTACAAAAATAGTTAATATATTATTGAGAAAATTTGAATATACTAAATATAAGATCTCAATCCATTTTATCACCAATATTTATCTATTTTACCCCCAAATAATTTCCATAGTGATTATACATATTAAGGAGTTTTTATTAATAGATAGTTTTAATACACTTGATTAAAAAGAATATTTTAAGCAAAATAACATCAATTTATTGCAAAGAACTTACTTAGTTAATTTTATTAATATCCTCAAATTAGTTATTTAACTCTTATATTAAAAAAATGTAGTATCAAATTATTGGCTTTATTCAAGTAATTTTGTCTTTTTCCATTACCATCTTCTCTCTCTCCACGTTTATGATGGCAAAAGCTCAAAAAATTAACTTCAGTCTTAGTGCCTGTTTGGGTCAGCGTTTGCTGGTCCAAACATGGCTTAAAATTAAAAATAAGCTTGATTGACATATTGGGTCTGTTAGGCAAAGCTTGCAATGTATTGGGCTTATTAATTTTTAAACCATTTGAATGCCCGATTGAAATAAGCTACAAGAGGGAGCTTATGATTATATCATAATAGCTTATTTTGTTTTGCTTTATATTTGCAATATTTTTTTCATTTCTATGATGTTTTCAAACTTAATTCATTCAATCAATTTCACTTCTTCATATTAAATTAATTTAAATTTATCGTATTATCTCAATTCATTTTTTTTCATGTTTCGCTTTATATTTAAAATATCTTTTATGATTTCTCCAAAGTTTTAAAATTTAATTCACTCATTAAATTTGACTTCTTCATATTAAATTATTTTAATTTCATTCTATTTTGTGAAATCATTTTTTTTTATTATGTTTCATTATTTATTAAAATTCAAACCATGTTATAATCAAACTTACTTTTATTCAACCATAATCCAAATAACTTTTTATCCATCTCACTTTTACAAACTAACTTTTCTAAACTCTAATCCAAACATAATTCAGTTTATCTAATTTAGCTTTTATCCAACTTTATTTTTTTAAAAACTACTTTTCTAATCACTAATCCAAACGAACCTTAAACTATCTTTTTACCCAAAAGCTCATCTTTGCAAGAACGCCCATCCAAACATTTATTTCAACATTCATCTGCCAGCAATGTGGGTTTGCGCCAATCCAACGCACGTTTTCCATTGAAAACGCCGATCCAAACATGCGCATAATCTCCTGTAATTAATGAACTCCAGTTCATTGAGAGAGAAAAACATTCCAGGGCTCATTGTCTTTTGTCACAACTCCCAATCCACTTGCTAGTTTTACCAGCATTTTCCTGGAATTTTTACGGTCCATGTCTTTTCACTGAAAAATTCTGCCAGTTTGTGGAGTGAAAAAAAAAATTGCACCGGACCGGATCCTTTTTTTAACGGTGGAAAATCAAGACAACTTAATGCTATGGGGAATATTTTTGGAGGCTATGGTATGGTGCGTTTAAAGAACGCTAATAAAGTAGTTTGATAAAAAAAAAAAACAAATAAATAAGTAGAGTTATTGGGTGTACTTGACCAGTTAGCCGCTGATCATTCTCAACTTACGTCCCAATCTCATCAAAATATTTTTGTTTAATCTCTTTATATTACGTTAATCAAGAACCAAACCATATCATTTCTCAGCAAGCTAAAAAACTAGGACTTAATTAGTTTCAGGTTGCTGCAAAACTACTGAAGGTTGAAGCAAGAAACTACAATCAGATGGATGCAACCATTGCTTTAATGCTCATAGAAGCTGTATTGATTTTGCTGGCTATAGCAATTTCTAAAGCCTTCACATTAATCGCTCCACTTCATGATAGGTAACATCTTCTTTACTATGGTCCCCCCCCTCCGCTTTATATTCTTGTTTGTTTTGCTGATAATAACGCAATATTTATTCATGGTTCCTTCCATTGTAGTTGTCATCAAGATGTTGTTGCTTCGATTCCTATGGTTTCTTCTCCTTCTCATATCATTGTTGCTCCTCCTGTAACCAAGTATGACATCTTTCTTAGCTTTAGAGGGGAAGACACTCATGACAGTTTCTCGAGTCATCTCTATGAAGCACTATGTGATGCAAACATTCAAACTTTTATGGATCACAAGCTCCACAAAGGAGAGCATTTCTCACCAATTCGTCTGAAAACAATAGAGGAATCAGAGATATCTTTGATTATTTTCTCCAAACATTATGCTTCTTCAACATGGTGTATGGATGAGCTCGTTCATATTATGAAATGCAGGGATAAATACCAAAGGCTTGTTATCCCTATTTTCTATGATGTAGATCCATCAAATGGTCAAAAACAAAATGCAAGATTTGGAGATGGATTTGCTAAGCTTAAGCAGAGATTTAAACAAAACCAAGAAAAAGTGCAAGAGTGGATAAATGCTTTGATCCAATCAGCAAATCTCTCTGGGTGGGATTCAAAGAATATCAGGTATGGCTTTTGTTCATTTCATTCTTCTCTTAAATTTTCTTTCTTTGGGCATTAAACATATCATTTTTTTTAATTTACATTTGTGCTAGGCCTGAATCGAAACTTGTTAAAAAAATGGTCGAAGACATTTTGAGCAAATTGAATCGCAAGTCATCCTTTCATTTGGAAGGACTAGTTGGAATTGATCATCAGATTCAAAAAAATTGAAAAGCTACTAAGTGAAGCTCGCGTTGTGGGAATATGGGGTATGGGTGGTATAGGCAAGACCACTCTTGCTAGAGCCACATTCGAGAGGTTGAAAGCACAATTTGAAGCTTTCTCATTTGTTGGAAATATAAGAGCA